GTGGTGCTGCTGATCATGATGTTGATGATGAGAGGGAGAAGGATGAGGAGGAGGAGGAGGAGGAGGAGGAGGAGGAGGAGACGGAGGAGGAGAGGAGGAGGGAGGAGGAGGAGGAGGAGGAGGAGGAGGAGGATTAGGGAGAGGAGGAGGAGGAGGAGGAGGAGGAGGAGAGGAGAGGAGGGGAGGAGGAGGAGGAAGATTATGACCACGTGGAGGAGAGGAGGAGGAGGAGGGGGAGAGGAGGAGGAGGGAGGAGGAGGAGGAGGAGGAGGGAGGAGGAGGAGGAGGAACAGGAGGAGAGGAGGAAGAGGAGGAGGAGGAGGCGGAGCGGAGGAGGAGAACGGGATGAGGATGAGGAGGAGGAGGACGAGGAGGAGGAGGAGAAGAGGAGGAGGCGGAGGAGGAGGATGAGGAGGAGGAGGAGGGAGGAGAGGAGGAGGAGAGGAGGAGGAGGGAGGAGGAGGAGAGGAGGAGGGAGGGAGGAGGAGGAGGAGGAGGGGAGGAGTGAGGAGAGGAGGATGAGAGGAGAGGAGGAGGACGAGGAGGAGGAGCGGAGGAGGATGAGAAAGAGGAGAGGATGAGGAGGAGGAGGATGAGGTTGACGATGAAGAGGAGGACGAGGAGGAGAGGAGGAGGAGGATGCAGAGGCGGTGGCGGAGGAGGAGGAGGAGGAAGAGGAGGAGGAGGAGGGGAAGAGGAGGAGGAGGAGAGGGAGGAAGAGGAGGAGGAGGATTAGGAGAGGAGAGTGATGAGGTGAGGATGAGGAGAATGAGGAGGAGGAGGCGGATGATGCGGACGAGGATGAGGAGGAGGAGGAGGAGGAGACGGCGGAGGAGGAGGAGGAGGAGGAGGAGGAGGAGGGGGGAGCAGGAGGAGGAGGAGGAAGAGGAGGAGGAGGAAGTGTAGGCGGTGGAGGAGGAGGAGGAAGAAGAGGAAGACGACGACGACGTCGACGACGACGACGACGATGATGATGATGCTGATGATGATGATGATGATGATGATGATGATGATGATGATGATGATGATGATGATGCTGATGCTGATGATGATGATGATGATGATGCTGATGCTGATGATGATGATGATGATGATGATGATGATGATGATGATGATGATGATGATGATGTGAGATGCTGATGATGATGACGACGATGATGATGATGCGGAGGAAGAGGAGATAGAGGAGGAGGAGGAATACTAGTAGTAATACTAATACTATTACTTAGAACACTCAGCATAATGCGAATTCTAATTTGAAGAAGAAGAGTAGCCATACTATTCTTAATAGTACTGAGAAGAATACGAGTACCGCGAATACGAGCAATACTGATACTACGCATAATGGTAATGAGACGCATATGATTAATATGACTACGACTACGAACAACATGCCAATTCATATAGTATGAATAATAACCATCAACAGAATGATAGTAATACTACTACTGATAATATCACTAACCATACTAATCATCATATTACCAAACATATGGCACAACATACTGATACGTATCGTAATAAACATAAGAGGAGGAAGAGGAGGAGGAGGAGGAGGAGGAGGAGGAGGAGGAGGAGGCGGAGGAGGAGGAGGAGGAGGAGGAGGAGGAGGAGGAGGAGGATGACGAGCAGCAGGAGGAGGAGTTACGGAGTTACGGAGTTAGTCCACACATGTGGCAATTACTCGGAAGCGGGGGAGGAGGGGGGGGGGCGGTGGAGAGGCTCGTCCGAAGGACGACGACGGGCGGCCCCCGCGCCTCTCCTCACACACCTCCTCCACGCCTCTCATTCCCACGCCCGCGGGTGGGGTGAAGGGGGCAACACCAAACTTAGGAGCAGGCACAACATCGGGGTACCCCTGAGCTCCCTCGTGTGGGGGGTCGGGGGCCTCAAAATCAGGTTGGGGAAGGACGGCATACCTCAGGCCTCATCCAACTCCACGGATACAGGCACATCGCGGGCCTGCACACTCACGCTTGGCACGGGCACTCTGGGCCGAAACCTCGGCCACCATGACCGACGCTGGAGGCCCACGGTAGGAGGGAAAAAGCTCCCGCGAACTCCGAGATAAATTTTCGATGCCCTTGCGAGAGGGCGACAGGCAGGCTTCGAGAGATTGCGACCAACCACTGTCGCAGTGAAGCCACAGGTATCACAAAACTTCAAGTCATAGCGGGACCACTCCCGAAGACTGAGAGGGGTGAAGGGCCACACCTTCAACCTCGCACCGCCCGCTCACCGCAAGGAATCCGTCACCGAGGAACCGCACCGCGGGGGCCGAGGCGGGAGGAGACGGGCCAGCGGCAACTGGTCCAGGGGCCAGACAGGGCGTGGCCGCAAACCTCAGAAGCCTAGCCCTGGGATCAATAACCCGACAGAGCTCACACATCCAACGATTGCTGCACTTCACGAGGCGATGCGGCGAGGCGTCAAGCGCTCCGACGAGGGCAGACTTGGGCGTAGCACTGGCGACAGGGGCCCTGGAACCAAACTCTGGGACAGCCTCCATACTATCAATAAGAGCGCGTCTAGCACGCCTCCGCACCAGAAAGGCAGTGGCATCCCAGCGATCGGTAAGCGGGATCGGCTGGCAGACTGACGAATCCCACCTCCTCCTCGCCGCCCACCCCGCCCAGACATCAGCACAGGCGTTGCCATGAGAGAGGAAGGCTAGAAAGGGTCAGGTGATACCTTCAGGCTCTATCTCCAGATGGGAAGCAGTCCAGACGACCTTGACGGTCCCAGGGCCCCGATTTTTCGCAGCCTGCCGCACACGGACCCAGAGAGGGAGGAGGAGGAGGAGGAGGAGGATGAGGAGGAGGAGGAGGAGGAGGAGGAGGAGGATGAGGAGGAGGAGAAGGAAGAGGAGGAGGAGGAGGAGGAGGAGGAGGAGGAGGAGGAACGAGGAGGAGGAGGAGGAACGAGGAGTAGGAGGAGGAGGAAGAGGAGGAACGAGGAGGAGGAGGATGATGAGGACAAGTAATTCCAATAATACCAACGGTGATACTACCATTAATACTAATAATATTACTAGTGATAACGATACTAATACGACTGCTACCAACAATACGAATACGAAGCTGAATACTACTACTACTACTACTACTACTACTACTACTACTACTACTACTACTACGTCTACTACTACTACTACTACTACTACGACTAATAACAATGATAATTGTAATAGTAATATGACTACCATTAATAGTACTACTACTACTACTACGACTACTACTACTACTACTACTACTACGACTACTACTACAACAACTACAGCTACTACAACAACAGCTACTACTACTGTTAATAATAATAGCAATAACACTACTAATACTAATGATAATATTCATAATATTATTAATGATAACAATAATCATCACAATAATAATAATACTAATACTAATAATAATAATACCAATACTAATAATACTACTACTACTAATAATAATAATATAATAATACTAATAATAATAATATTAATGGTACTAATGATACTATTAATACTAATATTAATAATCATGATATTACTTTTAATATATCTACTACTATTAATAATAATGATACTAACACTCATAATAGTAATACCAATAAGAAGACGAGCAGGAGGAGGAGGATGAGGAGGAGGAGGAGGAGGAGGAAGAGCAGGAGGAGGAGGAGGACGAGCAGGAGGTGGAACACGAGGAGGAGGATGAAGAGGAGGAGGCGGAGGCGGAGGAGGAGGAGAGGAGTAGGAGGAGGAGGAGGAGGAGGAGGAGGAGGAGGAGGAGGAGGAGGAGGAGGAGGAGAAGGAGGAGGGAGGAGGAGGAGGAGGAGGAGGAGGAGGGGGAAAACAGTGCGGGTGGCAATTGACGCCATCATGGGAAGTTGTAAAGGTGTGGAGGTACGTTGGACCCTCCTCTAGGGACGTCTTCGTTGGCCGAGGGTCCCTACAGGAGTCCTCGGCCCCCTCCGGTGGCTATTGACGCCTTCATGTGAAGGTGTGTGGGGGGACCCAGGCAGCCCCTCTGATGGAAACTGCGCGGGGTGTGAGGCCTATTGACGGTCCTCACGGGTGAGGCCTAAAGACGGTCCTCACCTGGGGGGGGCCGAGAGGGAGGGGGCGCGTGCGCTTCTCGGCGAGGTGGCTCTTGCTGATGGTCCTGAGGCTGGATTCCTGAAAAAAGGACCCCAAACTACATACACAGCCTCGACTCCGAAACATTGTATGCCTTGCGCACTCGGGGAAAGGAAGGAGGGGGGAGGGGGAGGGGGAGGGGAGGAGGAGGAGGAGGAGGAGGAGGAGGAGGAGGAGGAGGAGGAGGAGGAGGAGGAGGAGGAGGAGGAGGAGGAGGAGGAGGAGGAGGAGGAGGAGGAGGAGGAGGAGGAAGAAGAGCAGGAGGTGGAGGAGGAGGAGGAGGAGGTAGAGGAATCTCTGGAGTGTCTGCCTGATCGCGTGGCGATGTGATTAATTTCAAACTCCGCCACCCTGTACAGGGTGTTCTTGGCTCTGGAGGCCGTCTCAGCACGACTGAGGACCTCGGCCAGAGCCCTCTCGAAATTCGCTTGAGATACTCGCACCCCGTGGGTGTTGGCTTTTCGCGAAAGTCACCGAGTTTCCCGAGGACCTGATGCGCGTAAGCGCCACAATGGGTGCAAAACCAAAGCTTCAGCCCAACGTGGAACCATACACGGTGGCTCTGGTGCGCAACCTCCCCCGCGATATTGACCACCTTCCCAAGAGGAGCCTCCTTAGATATGCCGTCTGCATTTAAAGGTACGAAGCATTCACTCTGGAGCCACGTGGACCTCGAGGCCTTGCTGGAGGAACTGAAACATCTAGTGCAATAGGAGCCTGTGGGATCAGCAAGGTGTTGAGACCCGAAGAGAGCACACAGACTGGGGGCTGGCGAGTGGGGGTGCAGGAGGAGGAGGAGGAGGAGGAGGAGGAGGAGGAAGAGGAGGAGGAGGAGGAGGAAGAGGAGGAGGAGGAGGAGGAGGGCTTCCCGCAACCCACAGAGGTGGCCGGTGCGGCAGGCGGCGTGTCGGGCCCTTGGGGAGCTGGGCTGGGCGGCGGAGCCGTTCGTCGGGCAGATCGAGGAACTCCTCGCGGACGACGACGAGGACTGGCGGCCCGCAACAAGAGGGGGTCCCCTGATCCCCTCCGCCTCCTCCTCCTCCTTCTTCTCTTCTCCCTCGGCGTAGCGTGCGTCTGCCCCACCTGCCGGGTGAGGAAGAACACGGCTTTCGCGTGCAGGTGCTTTCTGGTTTGTGCCGTGCCCCCCCCAGCCTTGTCGAGATGTCTTTCAACCTGGCTTTCAGTGTGTGTGTGTGTGTGTGCGTGTAGGCGCAATCCGAGTTTTGACACCAGCTGTTGAAGCATGTTGAACGCTCCCTCCTTCGCAGACAAAGGGTCCCCTGAGATCCAGGTGTCTCATATCTCCGACGATGTGTTTTTTCAATCTGGGCGTTTTTCCTCCACTTCGGCTTCTAGGGCCCGTTGGGACGGAACGCTACCCTTGGGGAAGGGGTCGTAACCTCTGGGGCCGCGCAGTGTTGACGCTTCGTGTATCCCCACCAGTCCATCCAGACACGATCGAAGGCTTTCTTGCGGCCTCTTGGAGGCTATCTTGAGCCATGCTCGACTGAAGGCTATCGGAGGCCATCCTTAGCCATGCTCAGCTATCTTGGGCCATCTTGAGGCTGTCTTGAGGCCTCTTGGAGACCTGGCGGAGGCTATTTTGAGCCATGCTCGACCTCCTGGGACCATCTTGGGGGTAGGAGGAGGAGGAAGAGGAGGAGGAGGACAAGCAGAGGGGAGGAGGGGACTGAGGAGGAGGAGGACGAGGAGGAGGAGGAATGCGGCAGGCACAAGGAACAGGATGATGATGTTGATGATTATGATGCTGGTTATGATGGTGATGATGATGCAGACGAACAATACTATGATGATGATGCTGATGATGATGCTGATGACGATGACCATGATGCTAATGCTGATGCTGATGATGATGCTGCTGCTGATGATGATGCTGATTCTGGTGGTGACTGTGATGATGATGGTGACGTCGTGATGGTGATGACGCTGATGATGAGGACGACGATGATGATGCTGCTGATGATGATGCTGTTGCTGATGGTGATGATGATGACGATAATAATACTAATGATACTATCATTATTATTATTCTAATTTTTATTAATATAAATGATGATGATGATGATGATGATGCTGCTGACGATGATGATGATGATGATGATGATGATGATGCTGAT